TCAATGCAATATCTATCAAGCTACCAACTTTATTTTTCAGAGAACTAGAACAAATAATTTCACAATTTGTATGGAAATACAAAAAACCTCAAATAGCCAAAACAATCTTGAGAAAGAAGAATGGAACTGGAGGAATCAACCTGCCTGACTTCAGACTATACTACAAAGCTCCAGTCAGCAAGACAGTGTGGTACTGGCACAAAGAGAAAAATAGATCAATGGAACAGAATAGAAAGCCCAGAGATAAATCCATGCACCTATGGACAACTTATCTTTAACAAAGGAGGCAAAACTATACAATGGAGAAAACACAATCTCTTTAACAAGTGGTGCTGGGAAAACTAGTCAACCACATGTAAAAGAATGAAATAAGAACACTTTCTAACACCATACACAAAAATAAACTCAAAATGGATTAAAGATCTAAATATAAGACCAGAAACTATTAAACTCCTAGAGGAAAACATAGGCAAAACACTCTCTGACATAAATCACAACAGGATCCTCTATGACCCACTTCCCAGAGTAATGGAAATAAAAGCAAAAATAAACAAATGGGACCTAATTAACTTCAAAGCTTTATCACAACAAAGGAAACTATAAGCAGTGTGAAAAGACAGCCTTCAGAATGGAAGAAAATAATAGCAGAAGAAGCAACTGACTGAAAGAATTAATCTCAAAGATATACAAGCAGCTCATGCAACTCAATTCCAGAAAAATTAATGACCCAATCAAAAAGTGGGCCAAAGAACTAAACCAACATTTCTCCAAAGAAGACATACAGATGGCTAACAAACACATGAAAAGATGCTCAACATCACTCACTATCAGAGAAATGCAAATCAAAACCACAATGAGATACCATCTCACGCCAGTCAGAATGGCTGCTATCCAAAAGTCTACAAGCAATAATGCTGGAGAGGGTGTGGAGAAAAGGGAACCCTCTTACACTGTTAGTGGGAATGCAAACTAGTACAGCCGCTATGGAGAACAGTGTGGAGATTCCTTAAAAAACTGAAAACAGATCTTCCATGTGACCCAGCAATCCCACTGCTGGGCATACACACGGAGAAAACCAGAATTGAAAGAGACACGTGTACCCCAATGTTCATCGCAGCACTGTTTACAATAGGTAGGACATGGAAGCAACCTAGATGTTCATCAGCAGATGAATGGATAAGAAAGTTGTACATAATACACAATGGAATATTACTCAGCTATTAAAAAGAATACATTTGAATCAGTTCTAATGAGGTGGATGAAACTGGAGCCTATTATACAGAGTGAAGTAAGTCAGAAAGAAAAACACCAATACAGTATACTAACACATATATATGGAATTTAGAAAGATGATAATGATGACCCTATATGCAAGACATCAAAAGAGACACAGATATATTGAAGTCTTTTGGACTCTGTGGGAGAAGGTGAGGGTGGGATGATTTGAGAGAATAGCATTGAAACATTTATATTATCACATGTGAAACAGATTTGTCAGCCCAGGGTGCTCAGGGCTAGTGCACTGGGATGACCCTGAAGGATGGGATGGGGAGGAAGTTGGGAGGGCAGTTCAGGATAGGAAACACATGTACGCCTATGGCTGATTCATGTCAATGTATGGCAAAAAACACTACAATATTGTAAAGTAATTAGCATCCAATTAAATTAATTAATTAATTTAAAAAATAAAGTTCATTCTTTTTAATTGAGGGGGAAAAAAAGAAAATAGCTGAAAAAAGGTTGGTCCTGTAAGACCTACTTAACAGGTGCTTTGTTTCCTAGCTACAGCCCAGCAAACTTGCCATTTGCTTTCACTGAATGTCCATATGAAGTCTACAACAGTTGGAAATTACTTCTGCTTTGGTTTGGAGCTGTACAACTGTTTTGCTGAGGCTAGGCTTATTTATTATTTCACTTATTTTCTTAACAGTTTACTAAAAAAACTTTTAAAGAAAATAACCATTTTCTAAAAAGGCATTTTATTTTGAATTTTATATTCTTAAACTTTTAATCATTTGGAAAAGAGATAAACAAGACATGTTCAAACAGATGATGTAAAACAACACAACTTCTCATAGCTATGATTCAACTTCTTTTGCTGAGTATCGTGGCCATCAGGCTTCACTACATTAACTAGCAAACTTTTTTTTTGCCTTGACTTTACTTTTTCATTATTTGTGTTTGCCTCACCTGTAAGAACCATCTTACAAACCCCTTAGCCTGTGTCTATATCACCGACTCTGCCCCTTTGTTCAAACCACAGTTGATGTTTGGAACACCCTTTTTAAGATTCAGTAGATACTCATAAGAAAATTCATAATTGTCTTATTCATTAATTCTTTGAAGAACTATTTATTGAGCACAACATGTGCTAGGAGCTGTGCTAGGTGCTAATCTACTACAGTGAATGTGACAGTTTGAACCCTCAAAGATCACATTATTTAGTAGGAGAGACGGAAACAAGCAGTTGCAGTACAGTATGGCACGTGCTGTAAAAGTGGTGTGCATTCTTTTCATAAAGCCATCTTTATTTTAGCGGTATTGAAATGTAACTCCTTTATCCTATTCTAGAAATGATTATATGTTCTACAGGTTGTGTGAGCACTCAGTCGCTCAGTCTTGCCCAACTCTTTGCCATCCTATGGACAATAGCCCACCAGGCTCCTCTGCCCATGGAATTTAAGAATGCTGGAGTGGGGTGCCATTTCATACTCCAGGGGATCTTCCAGACCCAAGGATCAAATCCGTGTCTCTTGTGTGTCCAGCATTGGCAGGCAGATTGTTTATCACTAACACCAACTGCTCTACATAGCTCAACACAAAGTTATCACACAAACCACAATATAAGGAGCTCTTAATTCTCATCTTATTTTTGTTCTGTTATCAACCATTACCTTTACAGGATTTTCATCTAAGATTATTCACACACCATTACTTATTAAATGTTTGATTACTACTGTATAATAATCATCGCCATGAGCACTAGCCTGGCAGAAATCAATCCTTTTTATATTTTCTTGGTCACATATGCACAGAGTTGATGGATGTTATTACCCAGTTTCTTATTGTGTTAACAAATATGTTACATGTTAACTGGTGCCTATGGAATATATACATGGAAATCTAGTAAAGCATAATAAACCAGCAAGGTGATGGTTTGTCAGTCTTACTCACAACATCAACATTATAAAAGTTCTGAAGATCTTTAATAATGCAGTCGTTTACATTGTGAAAAGTCCATTAACAGATTCCAGACCCTCCAGAGATGAAAAAATGTAGCCAAAATTGTAAACCCATAATTATGATTAAATATGAGAAGTGATGTATCAGAGGAGTATACAAAATTCTGTTGGAGTCCAAAGGAAGGCAAAACATTAATATGTTAGTAAGGGGAAATAAATACTGTTTAAAAACAAAATTCCATAATGAAAACAAAGCATTGTTTGAGTTTTGAGATTGAGTAACAAATAGTTATGTCTGTATTCATGAAGCAGAAAATTTGAGTTGGATCAAGCGGCTATGATTTTTCCAGTAGTCATGTATGGATGTGAGAGTTGGACTATAAAGAAAGCTGACTGCCTAAGAATTGATTCTTTTGAACTGTGGTATTGGAGAAGACTCTTAAGAGTTCCTTGGACTGCAAGGAGATCCAACCAGTCCATCCTAAAGGAGATCAGTCCTGGGTGTTCATTGGAAGGACTGATGCTGAAGCTAAACTCCAATACTTTGGCCACCTGATGCGAAGAACTGACTCATTGGAAAAGACCCTGATGCTGGGAAAGATTGAAGGCAGGAGAAGGGGACAACAGAGGATGAGATGGTTGGATGGCATCACCAGCTCAATGGACTTGAGTTTGAGCAAGCTCTGGAAGTTGGTGATGGACAGGAAAGCCTGGCATGCTGCAGTCCACAGGGTCTCAAAGAGTCAGACACACCTGAGCGACTGAACTGAAACTATTTCTTTTCTTCAAGAGCATTCATTTAAGTAACCTTTTACAGAAGTGTGGCTCTAACTTTGAAAATATTAACAGTTATCATAGTCAGTAGAGTATGTGAAGTGATTTTGTATGTGTATGTAGTGGATTTTTTTATCATTTCTTATTTCAATACGGGGAGGAAGTCTTTGTTGATTTTGCTGCCTATAGCTGTAATATATATATATACTTCCATATTTTCAAACAACATTGAAATATTTAAAAAGGTGGAGTCAAAGTAACCCCTTAGTCCAGCTTCTGAGAGAGAAAGTGTTGTTAGCAGTTATTATGTGAATTCCCAAGTATTTTACAAACATAGTTTTATATTACATTGTTCTTACTATAGAAATATTATTCTGTAAAATGCAGTTTTTTTCAGTCAGATAGTGGAATACTTTCCAGACTAGGAAAACTTACTTGTTTTGACATGCAGAAGTATCTATGCTATGTTAAATGGATTGTTTTATTTTTTTATTTTTTTAAAACCTTTTTATTTTGTATTGTATTTTATTTTGTATTTATTTTTATTGTATTTTATTTTGTATAGCCAGTTAACAATGTGATAGTTTCAGGTGAGCAGTGAAGGGACTCAGCCATACATATACATGTATCCATTCTCTCCCAAGCTCCCGTCCCATCCAGGCTGCCACATAACACTGAGCAGAATTCCATGTGCTGTATGTACAGTAGGTCCTTCTTGGTTATCTTAAATGTATTGTTTTAAAACTAAATATCAATATCTAAATAGGATATCAATTATCTTTCATCAGTGTAAATAATTTGGGTTTAAAAGTAGTAATTTTTTGTTCACATGTGCCTCTTTTTAAATTAAACTATATGACTATAGAAGAATATAAAGCTTGCAGATGTACTATTGAAAATTAGTCTTTGGTGCTCTGGGTGTAATTATTGAAATAAAAAGAAATGGATATAAAATTTCAAATACCTTTTCCAACAGATCTTTATAATCTGTTATTTACTTTGCCTGATAAAACTTTCATTAAGATTATATGATGGGTTTCCCAGGTCTCTGGACTCAGGACTCACCAGTGCATTACAGGGTCTATCTGTCACAGACACACACCTTGTTGAAGTGGATGGAGACACGCTTTCCCTGTATGGCTCAGGAGCACTGGAATGTCTGGATCGGAACTGGAGTGTGCAAACAGCAGGAATGGTGACAACAGTGTCCTTCACTTTCATAGAATTTGATGAAATCGTCCAAGTGCTTCCCAAATTGAAGATTAAGTTTCCTAATTCTCTGGTAAACATTTCCTTTTTGTTGTATATTTGAATTCTTCTCAGTCATGACTTGTATATTCAGGCCAAAGACCTATTTTAACTTTTATTTATGCTATTTCTGTCTGTCAGGGAGACTAAGTTCTTGTGTTGAATTTCTGAATCTGAGATTTAAATTAGTATTCATAAATGGCCTCGCAGTCTTCTGTTAATATTGGAAATTTTCTCTCTAGAAAATGCTTCCTTATGGAGTATGAAGGACCAATGTAATTTAATTCAAGTGACATGCTTCTACTTTGGGAAACTTTCAACAGGACCTCACTTAACTCTTTATTATATATTCATTTACTATACCTGGTATTAACAGGACAAGTATACTCACATATAATTTTTATAGTAGTCCGCTAACAACATTTAAAATCATTTTAATAGCTCATTAAAGTTACTTTGAGAAATTAGCCTTTTCCAGTTATGGTATTATTATATTAATTATTAGTATGAATTTTTGAAAGCTGTGATTTCTGAGTTCTCTCTTGAGTTTTTGTTATCATTGTGTTTTTCTCAATTAGCTGGTGATTTCCCTCACCAACCCTTTTTAAAAAAATTTATTTATTTTAATTGGAGGCTAATTACTTTACAATATTGTAGTGATTTTTGCCATACATTGACATGAATCATCCATGGGTGTACATGTGTTCCCCATCCTGAACCCCCTTCCCACCTCCCTCCCCATCCCATCCCTCAGGGTCATCCCAGTGCACCAGCCCTGAGCACCCTGTCTCATGCATTGAACCTAGACTGGTGATCTATTTTATATGCTAATATACATGTTTCAATACTATTCTCTCAAATCATCCCACCCTTACCTTTTCCCAGAGTCCAAAAGTCTGTTCTTTACATCTGTGTCTCTTTTGCTATCTCACATACAAGGTCATTGTTACCATCTTTCTAAATTCCATATATATGCATTAATATACCATATTGGTGTTTTACTTTCTGACTTACTTCACTCTGTATAATAGACTCCGGTTCCATCCACCCCATTAGAACTGATTCAAATGTATTCTTTTTAATAGCTGGGTAATATTCCATTGTGTATATGTACCACAGTTTTCTTATCCATTCATCTGCCAATAGACACCTAGGTTGCTTCCATGTCCTGGCTATTGTAAACAGTGCTGTGATGAACACTGGAGTACATGTGTCTCTTTCAATTCTGGTTTCCTCATCACCAACCCTTTTATAATGTATTTTGTTGTTTTGTTATATTCTCCTCTCTAATAAAAAGGATAGAAGTGGAGACAGTGTGTTTAGAAAAGATCATCCAAATTCACAGACAGAACATTTCTATTAGCATTTCAATGTTAGTATTTTGTTTTCTGATAGCCAGTTTAAGTAGCTTACATACTAATTAGCAAGATGAAAGTAATAATGGTTAACTAGTTCTTTTCAGAAGTAGTGAGCCCTGTATTTGTAATGTTTTGAAAATTTTACTTCTGGTTTTTCCTTTGTAGATTTAATCTCCATGTAAAACATATAAAATCATTGTAATATCTAGAAGAGTCTGAATTATTGTATATTTATATAATTTTTTAGAAACATAGTTAATAGATAGGCAGATGTCCTTTGCAGAATGGAAATCACTTCAAGTTCAATATTGGGTGGCTTAATATATTCTATCAATAATTTTGTATTAGGTAGATTAAAGGTATGTGAGTTTAATGCATTCAGTTGGTTTAATGAAAACATATTAGCTAACCATAAAGTTTAGACTTATTTGGGGAATGATAGTGAAGCTTTAATGGTAACATTTTAAGATGGTTAGACTCAATATTCACCCCTTTTTTTGTTTATTATTGTAGCACCTTAAATTCAAGGAAACAAATCTTGTAATGCTGCAGCAATTTAATGCACTAGCACAGCTCCGTCGAGTTGACCAGTTGACAATTGATCCTCAAGGAAATCCAGTTGTCAGTTTTACACTCTGGAAATATTATGTCCTGTTTAGGCTGAGCCATTTTAATATGCAGAAAATAAATGGAACAGAGGTAAGCTAAACACTAAGTAAACTGTAGAATTAAAATGTTCCTTTTAAAGGGAAATAATCATAAAAATATCCAGGAATTTATGTGTAAAATCATGATTGAACTTTTTAGAAATAATTTTTTAAAAAAAAATCCTGCTATTTAAAATGTTGAAAAGCTAAAAATATTTGTCTAAAAATTTCTAATATACTAGGCAAATTTTGTGAACAAATTAGTAACCAATCATGGTGAACAGTAAACACTTTTTCTCTTGTTTTTAAGTATTCTGAGAAGGAATGATAGGATAACAGTTTAAAATGAAAAGAAAAAGAACACTTCCGTAAGTAAGGTGATCTTTGTGTTTTTCAGAGTGTTTTACATACTGACATGCAAAAGGGCCTGGGGAAGTGATACTAAATGTCATTTAATAAAGGTTGTGATAGGGACAGGGAAGAATAACATGCAAAAAAATGTACATGGGGAAAGAAGAGTGATTTTAAAAAGAAGAGATAAGAGGGAGAAATAAGCAAGGAGGAAAGTTAAAAGAAGAAAAAGTGAACATGAATGAAAAAGGAAATAAAACAACCATAAGTAAAAGTCTAGATTGCTTTGTTAATAGTTTGTAACAGCTGCTTGGACATATCTACAGTGTATAATTCAGGTCTGGAGCCTGAATAACTGGAAAATTATTAGCAAAGAGTTATTTTTCAGATTGATTCTGCTAAGCTTGTCACAAGGGTAATCCCCCAGCTATCCAAAGATCATGTTCCCTTTAAATATTACTTTGGAAGAAGAGAGAGAAACTATGTTTCTTCTACTGTGGAATTCCAGAACTGAGTTTAGATAATCCTCCAAAGGAAAAAATCTTTTAATATGCTACTAGTATTAGTGTGATTATCTCTTAAAATTCAGACCTCCTTATTGTAAGATGAGCTATAATCAACTTTGCTAGCAGGGTGGTTATAGCAACTGTAGTTCCCTGCAGCTGATACACCATAAGTAACTCTGGCCTAAAACTTGAGAACTCCAGCATACCACCAGTAGACTGGAGGTCTCTGGGTCAACGTATAAGAGCCATGTGAAATTTGCATCAGCTATGGTAGGTCCATGACCCCAGTATCAGTATCTGTTGAAGATATAGGGCAAGCCTGGAACCTTCAGATGACTATTAATTTCTCCAACTAGTTCTCAAGAGATTTATTTCAGTTTTATGTACCCTCTTGGTACTTCCCCAGAGAGGTTGTAAGTCACTGGTCAGATCTAATGATTAGTTCCAAAAGTTTCCAAAACTAGCCTGGACTGTAGAATAGTTATTTTAGCTATAGGTGAGGAATTCTCCCTCATTAATGGCCAAACCATTATCTTGATTAACCCTAAATACTGTATTTACCCAAATGTGGGTCACTACTGGAGACATAATAGTTATTATAAAACCTAAAAATAGGAAGTAATAGTATAATATAATGAAAGAACCAATGTAATGTACTCTGATTTAAAGTTCTGAAAGTGTCAATGCCCAGGGATATTTGACCTTTTAATAAAAGACCTAGAATAAAACTGCTTATCTTATCCTTGACAGTATGTGATAATGTTATACTCTATTTCTGCTTTTCTTTGTATGAGAGAGAGTGAGCAATGTGAGCATCAAGAGAAAGAGATGGAGTAGTGGCCTGCACTGGCCACTAGGTGACTATGTTAGACCAAACAAGTTAGTTGTCAGCTGATGGAGTGATTCCAGGGAGCTGCAGCCTCATTAACTACTGAAGTCTAGGGAAGGAAGGGAGAGTCAGTCTGCGGTGATTCATATGTATAAGTCGCTTGTGAATTATGGGTTATTTTCCAGAAAATTCCTGTGTAGGTTATTATAGCAAGTGTTAAGAATAAGGTTTTTAAAGATCCAAAATGTACCAGGGTCTCTCAACCTCAGCTCTATTGACATTTTGGACCAGGTAATTCTTTGTTATGGGGACTGTCCCATACACTGTAGGACATTTAACGGCATCCCTGGCTTTGACTCATTAGATGCTAGTAGCATCTCTCCACCAGTTGCAATAAACCAAAAATATCTCCAGACACTTGCAAACATTCCCTAGGGGCCAAAGTGGCCCCTAACTGGGAACCACTGAATTGTATTGACAAAGAAATAGTATTTAAAATGCAAGAAACCTAATTTTATATTTAAAACATGCCCAGATATTAATGCAAGTCTTGCTTTTAGCTTTTAGTAGTTTCTTGGTTAACACAGGAACGAGCCCACATGGGGAATATACCTGTGACAAATTATTCCTTGTGGGGAGAAAGGTGGATGTAACTTCAGAATGAGCAGGAGTGCTGTTCCTAATCCAATGTTCATTCCCTCACAAAGGGATGAAATTATCCTTTCAGGAACAAGGCATTAACAACACATTGACTTGCCTTTAACACATTATTAAAGTTAGTCTATTCCATTGACACTTGAGATTTTTCCCCCTTAAATCATTCTACTCAAAGAAGCTTTGGGATTTTTGAAGAAAAAAAAAAAATTCATTAAGAATTTAAGGTGTCTCAAGTATAATCCTCAGGAACCATGGCTTCCAAGTCAGAGCTAACACCTCACCTCCCAGCCCTTTTCCATCACTATAAGCCACATTTGTAAATCTACATTCTAATCAAGCTCAGGGAAAAAAGAGAAATATCAGTCAGAACTCACTCTCCTCTTACAGCCCAGGAGAATGTATTTTCCCTGAAAAGAAATTTTTTAATTAATTAATTTATTTTTGGCTGCTGCATGAAGTCTTAATTGCAACATGTGGGGTCTTCCTTGCAGTGCATGGCTCTGTAGTTGCAGAGTTTGCAGGCTTTGTTCCCCACATTGCAGCATGTGAGGTCTTAGTTCCTCACCCAAGACTCAAACTGGCATCCCCTGTACTGGATTCTCAACCATTGAACCACCAGGGAAGTCCCTACAAGAAAATATCTAATCTGGACATTTCTATGAGATTATGTTAGTTGTATCAAGTTAAGAGGCAATGTCATTTTTTACCCTTTCCTATTTGTCTCTTCAGGTGACGCAAAATGATATGATAATGGCTGAGAGGCTGTTTGGAATCCTAGCACATGTAGCATCCTCTGAATTACCCCAGTACCGACTGATTTCAATACTGGGTGATGCCAGGTAAACTTTAATTTCTATAGTTTTTATAGAAGTATTGTTGCACCAGACAAAGTAATACATTACACACACTTCTTAATTGTGTTATTTATTTGTTCCACAAACATCCTAAATTTGCTTTTGTCTGGCCTTCTCCAAAGTGTTGGAGCTATAAAGATGAATATGATAAAGTTCTTGCTTTTTTGTGGCTTATAAGCTAATAAATTATTAGTTTATAAGCTAATAAGTTAAGACATTTCAGATGTTGTAAGAGTATAGGAGAGACCACGCTTTGGAAGAACATTGGGGAAGGCATCACAAAGGAGTTAAGATTTTTCTAGCTTGTCAGGGATGAATAAGAATTTTTTTAGATACAGGGTATGAGGGAAGGAGATCTGCAAAGGCACAGGGAATTGTAAGTAATTCAGAATAATTAGAGCATAGGATGATTGTGAATTGTGATAGTGAAAGTAGAAAGATTGGTTGTGATCTGATTTTGAAGAGCCCAGAAAAACAAAATGAATACTGTGCTTTGTAGTTGAGCACAACAATCAGGTGATTAGACTCATGTTCTCGAATGGCCGCCATTTGAAAGGACAGAGAAGGAAGGGATGGAGACCACTCAACAGGCTAGTCTGTATTCCGGGAGAGAGGTTATAAGGGTCTGCACTAAGAAAGAATAGAGAAGACAATTTGAAAAATACATAGAAGTGTACCTGGCAGAAAACACTGACTGACAGGGCGCGGTATGGATAGGAGAAAAGTCAAAGATGATGTGTCAGTCGTGACTCACTTATGGATAATTCCCCCTGACTGGAGTCAGGAGAAAACAATTGATATACAAGAAATCAGTTATCTACAAAATCACTGAAAGGGATAGGGAAGCAGTCTCCAGGCTGAGCCTGGAGGGGATCCCAGAATGATACCACAGAACCAGTCCACCAAGGACACTGCCATCTCTGCTACAGTCTGGGAGCTGGGGAGGTCAGGATACTTGTCCGAACCATGGCCTCCACTTTTCACATAGGGGTCAGGAAGTTCCCCATTCCTCTCCTCAAAACTTGGCTGTACTATAATTCATACCAATAAAATGTGTATCTAGTGTGCTTGCTTTCCCACTTAGTTCAGTTCTGATTTCAGAGCTTACCCATGTGTATCTGATTGGCAGAACTGAAATCTCATAAAAAGCCCACAGAACATTCTGAAAAAAACTACTGAGCAAGGTGCTGTTACAAGATGAACAGTAAATGTAAGAAATAGGAAGCATTGAATTAAAGAAATGATGTTGTGGAAAGATTCATTAAAAAGTGGGCTTCCCTGGTGGCTCAGTTACTAAAGAATCTGCCCACACTGCAGGTAGACCTGGGTTTGATCCCTGGGTTGAGAAGATCCCCTGGAGGAGAGCATGGTAACCCCCTCCAGTATTCTTGCTGGAGAATCCCCATGGACAGAGGAGCCTGACGGGTGACAGTCCACGGGGTCGCAAATTGCTGGACATGACTGAGCGACTAAGCACAGCACATAATGTAAAAAACTTTAACAACCTGAAAATAATAATCCCAGAATATCCTCAGAGAAAGGATGTTGAAGTTTGCCAAGTTCCTTTCCTTGTTTGGGAGAAATAGAAAAGTACATGTTTATCTATGTGTTTTCAAATTTCAAGGGCCACCATTAGAAAAGAAGATAAGATGTACAACTTCTAAATCATTAAGAAACCACTGATCAACCAAAAAAGCAGAAGGGAAGAAAAAAATGAACATGTCAGTTATCACAATAAATATTCATGAATGAAATTCTATTAATTGATAATAGCTCTCAGCTTGGGTTAAAAACTGAATTTCATTTTGTTTTTGAGAGATACTCCTAAAGCAATATATAAAGGTTGAAAATAAAGGGATGGAAAATATGTAACAGGCAAATAACAATAAATAAATATGGGAATATTAATACTAGTGGTGATAGAATTGATGATGTTGTTGTTCAGTTGTCCAGTCATTTCCAACTTGGCAACCCCATGGACCGCAGCATGCCAGACTTCCCTGTCCCTTACCATCTCCGAGATTGCCCAAGTTCATGTCCATTGCATTGGTGATGTCATCCAGCCATCTCATCCTCTGACACCATTTTCTCTTTCTGCCCTCAATCTTTCCCAGCATCAGGGACTTTCCCAATGATTCAGCTGTTCACATCGGTGACCAAAATGCTGGAGCTTCAGCTTCAGCATCAGTCCTTCCAATGAGTATTCAGGCTTGATTTCCTTTAAGATTGACTGGTTTGGTCTCTTGGCTGTCCAAGCAATTCTCAGAAGTCTTCCCCAGCACCACAGTTCAAAGGCATCAATTCTTGGCGCCCTGCCTTCTTTATGGTCCAGCTCTCTCAACCACATGTAACCATTGGGAAGACCATAGCCTTGACTACACGGACCTTTGTTGGCAGAGTGATGTCTGCTTTTCAACACGCTAAGTTTGTCATAGCTTTCCTGCCAAGAAGCAGTAGTCTTCTGATTTCATGGCTGCAGTCACCATCCACAGTGATTTTAGAACCAATAAGAGGAAATCTGTCGCTGCTTCTGCCTTTTCCCTTTCTATTTGCCATGAAGTAATGGGGTCAGATAGCATGATCTTAGTATTTTTAATATTTAGTTTTAGGCTGGATTTTTTCACTCTTCTCCTTCACCCTCATCAAGAGGTTCTTTAGTTCCTCTTCTCTTTCTGCCATTAGAACATTAGAATGGTATCATCCAAATAACTGAGATTGTTGCTGTTTCTCCCACCTATCTTGATTCCAGCTTGTAACTCATCCAGCCCGTCATTTTGATGATATCAAAAACTTAAAATCCACCAAAAAAGATAATAATTATGAAACTTAATGCAACCAAAATCACAGCTTCTAAATATGTTAGCAAATATAAGTATACATTTAAAAATTCACATTATTGTGGTAAATATTAACCTATTTGATCATTTGATCAAACAAACACAATTAAAAAAGAATACTGAGGATTTGTATTTGGTACAGTACTGTACCAAATAAATGTATTTAGAATTGTATTTCCAGAGACTTATTCCAAATTCAGGGGGGAAAAAGCCTTTTTAAATACCTATGAAAAACATTAAAAAAATTGAACATATATTTAAACTCAAAGAAAATTTTCATATATCTCAAAAAGCATATTCATGCATGTAACTTTCTGTAATCATAATATCATAAAATTAAAAAAGAATGAGACAAAAACCTGTCCTATTGCAGTTGGAAAAGCAAAGAAACAAGAGAAGCAAATTCTCAGAAAATAAGATACAAGTGCCTTTAAACTTCAAAAAAGTTATTTGACCTCAAAGTTATAGACAGCACAAACATAGGTATCCAGGGATTTTCATTACAGTGTTTATAATATTAAATAACAAAAATATGAAAACTCAGTTCAGTTCAGTCACTCAGCCATGTCCAACTCTTTGCAACCCCATGAACTGCAGCATGCCAGGCCTCCCTGTCCATCACCAGCTTCCGGATTCCACCCAAACCCATGTCCATTGAGTCAGTGATGCCATCCAACCATCTCATCCGCTGTCATCCCCTTCTTCTCCTGCCCTCAATCTTTCCCAGTATCAGCGTCTTTTCAGATTAGTCAGCTCTTTGCATCAGGTAGCCAAAGTATTGGAGTTTCAGCTTCAACATTAGTCCTTCCAGTGAATACTCAGGACTGATCTCCTTTAAGATGGACTGGTTGGATCTCCTTGCAGTCCAAGGGACTCTCGAGTCTTTTCCAACACCACGCTTCAAAAGCATCAATTTTTAGGCACTCAGCTTTCTTTATAGTCCAACTCTCACATCCATATATGACTATTGGAAAAACCGTAGCCCTGACTAGACAGACCTTTGTTGGCAAAGTAATGTCTCTGCTTTTTAATATGCTGTCTAGGGTGGTCCTTTACTTCCAAGGAGTAAGTGTCTTTTAATTTCATGGCTGCAATCACCATCTGCAGTGATTTTGGAGCCCCCAAAAATAAAATCAGCCACTGTTTCCCCACCTATTTGCCATGAAGTGATGGGACCAGATGCCATGATCTTAGTTTTCTGAATGTTGAGTTTAAAGCCAACTTTTTCACTCTCCTCCTTCACTTTCATCAAGAGGCTCTTTAGTTCTTCTTTGTTTTCTGCCATAAGGGTGGTGTCATCTGCATATCTGAGGTTATTGATATTTCTCCTGGCAATCTTGATTCCAGTTTGTGCTTCATCCAGTCCAGCATTTCTCATGATGTGCTCTGCATATAAGTTAAACAAGCAGAGTGACAATATACAGCTTTGACGTACTCCTTTCCTGATTTGGAACCAGACTGTTGTTCCATGTCCAGTTCTAACTGTTGCTTCCTGACCTGCATACAGGTTTCTCAAGAGGCAGGTCAGGTGGTCTGGTATGCCCAAATCTTTCAGAATTTTCCACAGTTTATTGTGATCCACACAGTCAAAGGCTTTGGCATAGTCAATAAAGCAGAAATAGATGTTTTTCTGGAACTCTCTTGCTTTTTCGATGATCCAGCGTATGTTGGCAATTTGATCTCTGGTTCCTCTGCCTTTTCTAAAACCAGCTACATGTCCATTAATAAAGGACCAATTACTTGCAGCTATCAAAATTATTAGAGGTTCTGATATGAAATAATCTTTAAGATGTCTTAGAAACTAAAAATACAAGATATAGAACAATTGTGTAGTATGCTGCAATTTGTGAAAAACAGAACATACACTTCAGAGATTTCCTTGTGTAATTTTAAATATTTGATTTTCTAAAAATGATTGTCTCTGCATCTATTGAGATAATCATACGGTTTTTATTTTTCAATTTGTTAATGTGGTGTATTACATTGATTGGTGGATATTGAAGAATCCTTGCATCCCTGGGATAAAGCCCACTTTGTCATGATGTATGATCTTTTTAATATGTTTTTGGATTCTGTTTGCTAGAATTTTGTTAAGGATTTTTGCATCTATGTTCATCAGTGATATTGGCCTATAGTTTTCTTTTTTTG